TTCTGGTCTGAGGGGACTCCAGCGCACTGCAGAGGCTGTCTAGCCTCCGGGTGACACTCTGGGAGAGACACTGGGAAGGGGCAACAGGAAACAAGAGGAACGTTTTCTCCTCATTTTCCCGAGTCCACCCTTCCTCAAGATAAGCTATGTGTGCAGTTCCGGCAGTCAAGTCTCCGGGCTTATCTCAACTTCAGGAACCATTCTCAAGGCCTGTGTACACGTGCTCTGGGCGTTCTTCACCCGCACAGCACACAACAAAGCTCCTTCATTGACAAGGCCTTTCAACGGGCCTCTCAAAACACTGTCTAGAAATGAAATCTCTGAGTAGCTACAGCCACTTTCCCCTCCACCCCAAAGAAACCTAACTTTCCGGTCTTGTCAAAGAAATCAATGTTACTTCCCCCGCCCCTGCCCCCCTTCTCAATCCACTCTGCCACCACAGGCACCAGTGTCTGGTGATACCCAGCCAACCCAGCGAGCGGGGCAGGCTCGCCCACTGTCCCAGGGAGGAAGTCTTTCCCCAGGAAAGTGATCCTCGGTGCCAAAGGTCAGGAAAGACAGCTGATGATGAGAGAGCAGGGGACGATAGTCTCCATGAAGAACATGCCCCCGTGAGGATGAGGAGGGATGAGAAGTAGGGCGGAGAGGGGAGAGAGGAGCAGGGTGGAGGGCACAGGGCAGAGGGGCGGCACTGAGCAGGGCAGAGGTGGTGTGAGAACGATAAAGAAAGGCAGTCACAGGAGAAGCCGGTGGGTAGGGTTTTTGAGAAATGAAAACAAACAAGAATCCCTAGGCACAGGCATCAGCCATGCTAGGGAAAGCCAGGAAGAGGCAAGTTTAAGGCGAAACTCTTTTAAGGTCTGTGTCCTGAGGGCCCATAAGCCAAACTCAACTTCTCATCACGGAGTCAATGCCCTCTAGGTCAGAGTAGAACTATCCCTGTGGCGTTCTGGGATTGTAACTCTTTGTGGGAGTAGAAAGCCTTGCCTTCCTCCCTTGGAGAGGCTGGTGGTTTTGAACTGCTGACCTTGCAGAGCACAGGCCAATGTGCAAACACTACACCAGCAGGGTTCTGAGGGTACCACTCCTCAAAATAGATGATCTATAGACACAACTGCCGAGGAAGGGACTGACCACCAGAGTGAGGTAAAAACAGAGCTGGGAGCTTCCACCTGCAGTGGGCTTCCTGGACACGTCTGCAGGTGCCCAATTCTGACTTCTTCCCTGCGTCCTGGTCTCGATCCACTGAGCCCATCCCCCTGTCAGCCTGCCAGGTAGTCACACTCAGTAGCAATCCCAAGGCTATGGTTATGAAACTGAGCCATGCAGTGAGTGGGGAGGAATGAGGAAGAAATATGTTGTTCACTATTTGGGCAACCAACTAGAACTCCCTGTGAACTTGTCGGGCTACTTCATCCTCATTCTACCTGTAGCTAGCCTGAACCTGTTTGTTCTAGGAGAGGCCACCTCCCTGGACAGACTGACAGTACTTTCCATTTTCATTTCACTCAGTCATCATGGTTTAAAGACCTTCTAGGATATTAAGAAAAATTCTCACAACCAGACCAATAAGCACAATCATGATATTGAAAATACTCAAGTTGTCCAGGGCTTCATTTTGTTTGGGTGCATAATAGATACTCTTGGAAGCAGCAATCCAGAAATTAAATGATCTATCATGGTTGGTAAAGTCAAGGATCATCAAAAAGCACCCCCACCCTCAATAGGACTAACTGTGGTGGCACTAATGGCCTCAAGTGTAGCAACCATTGAGAGGATGGTGCAGGACCGAGCAGTGCTTTGTTCTGTTGTACATAAGGTCGCTATGAGCCAGAACCAACTTGATGGCACCTAGCAACAACTGCTTTGGGACATAAACTATTTGAGCTTAGTAACCCAAAGTTTAAAAACGAGGTTGGAAGCTGAAGAGTCAAGTGGGTTGTCTGGTTGGCTGTGACTAATGATGGGCATGCATGTTACACTGGAGCAGACCCGTTTCAGTGGCCTCTCTTGGCTCTACCCTTCATGGACCAGTGCCTGGGGAAAATCGTAAAATCCTCTACGACAAGCAGAGAGGTTGGCAGTTCAAACCCTCTGATCTGCTCCAGCAAGGTCCCAGTCTTGAAACCCCTACAGAATGCCATTGTACTCTGCACCCAGGGAGTCATCGTGAGTCTGTTCAGACAGCAATGAACAACAGTCTGTGTGGGAGCCAGTTCGTGAGTCTTCTTCCAGAGTGCTACTCTATAACCAAACTCACTGCCACAGTCTCGATTCCAAGACACAGTGACCCTGCAGGACCGGGTAGAGCTGCCCTGGTGGGTTTCCCGAGGGGAGACTGGTAGTTTTGAACTGCTAACCTTTGCAAAGCCCACTATACCACCAGGGCTTCTCAGTGTGCTACTGGTTGGGTTCAAACCACCAACCTTTTGGTTCCTAGCTGGAAGCAAATCATTTGCACCACCCCAGGGCCTCCGAGTCAGGTCTAAGGGGTCTAAGTATTGGATATGGACAGCTGGTGACAAGTATGATGATGGCCAACAAGGTGTACAGGTGGATGCCCCTGTCAGATTCTGGCACCTGCAGGGGGCGGGACCAGCCTGAACGACTGTCTCTTCTTCCATGGAGGCTCAACTCACAAAGGAGCTGGGGGCAGTTGGGCCAGAGCAGGGCAAAGCATCGCACGCCCGGATCTCACAGCTTACCAACGGCCCAGCAGCAGGCAGCAGAATCTCAGATGGAGAGATGGGGACCAGGAGTGACCCAGGGCAAAAAGGCCCTAGGCTTTCTGAAGGGGCACAACAGTTGTGATAGGGGCTCTGGGGAAGCCAGACTGACCAGAGGTGGTTCTGACTGAGCCTGCGGAGAAGCGAGCCCACAGAGTCGAAAACAGAACACTATCAGGGGCATTCTAGGAATGGGAAACTGGTCAGTCAGCAGGAATTGGAGGGACTGTGGGTGAAACGCTTCCAACCTGACATCTGGGGTGAATCTAAGGTCCAAAGAGGCTTCCAGTCTCCAAAGAGCCTGGGTGTGTGTGGCAGTTACATTATCTCCTGTCAACTTGTGAAGGGGTGGGGTCTAGCCTATCAATCAGGTCATAGACAATGAGGACTCTGGGTGGACATGGCCTTTTCCTGAGGATTCTGGGAACTCATGTCTTTCTCCCTGGAGGCAAGAGACACTCTCTCTGCTTCATATTTCCGTTGGCAAGCCACATGGAGACACACTGATGGAGCCAGAGCCTTGTTGCTGGAGAAGCCACATGGAGACCCACGCCAGCACCAAGATGCTTCCATCACCATTGGATCTACAAGACTTTCTACCCACTAGCCTGTGATCTTCCTGAATTTGGCATCATTGCATGTGCTGCTTGAGTCTGAAGAGGAATTTACAGAGTGGTATCTGACACATGGGCTAATATCGGACTTATGGACTTGATCTGGACTGGGCTGGGATGTTTTCTTAATATACAATTACTCTTTTATATAAAACTCATTCTTATACACATATGAGTGTCTATGAATTCGTTTCTCCAGTCCACCCGGACTAACACAGTGTGGGATGCATGGACAAGGGTGCTTGGCTGCAAGCAGAGATGTTGGAAATTCAAGTACACCCAGGGACACCTCAGAAGGCAGCTGTGGGGTTGTGCTTCTGGAACATTCTAGGGAGCACAGGTCTACCCTGACACATGTGGGGCAATGGGGAGCCCAGGGTGGGAGAACCCCTAGGAAAAGGAAGAGAAAAGCCAGCCACGGACTGAGACACACATTCACAAAGTGAGTCTTGTTCTGTTAGAGTGAATCGCGGTCTTTTCAGACCCAGGTGAATAGCTACGATACAAGGTCTGCGGGCCGCCCTGGGCCTAGACCCCATCTCAGACGCTGCCCTGACTTGAAGCAGGAAGGGGGCACACGTGGCTGCACAGGAGTCCTCTGGGGACACACAGGGACCCATGAGGAAATTCCTGCCGACAAGTCCGAACCATTGTGTGTTCACAGTGAGCGAGCAAGAGGAATGGCAGCTTCAGGCCCTTCTGCTAGAGCAGAGGGCTCGGGCGGGAGCAAGCTGCAGATGCTGAGAGGCTGGACGCTGGACAAAGCTGCACCCTGGCCATGGAGCAGGTGCTCTCCTGGGGGGGCCTGGATCCAGTGCACCTGCCCATGGGCCCATCAGCTGAGCTGCCGGGAGTCTGGGGAAAGCTGTCCTTAGGGAGCACACGTTGGTTTGTGAAAACCCATGTATTGACTTGGTCTTGGTGAAGTGTATTGCGTATACCAATAGCCAAGCACTTGGCCACCAGCCAAAAGGTTGGCAGTTTGAGACCACCCCCAGAGACACCTTGGGAGAAAGGCCTGAGGATCTAGTTCCAAAAAATCAGAGCCCTTGATTTCCTGTGGAACGTCCTCTGGGGTGCACACACGGGACGGTCACAAGTTAGAGTCAATTAGATGGAAACTGGATCCTTTGCTTGTTTGGTAAAATATATCCCAGTATGTTACTTTGGGGATGTATGCAGGTGTGCGCACCACACACATGCACGTTTATCTTAATAGTGCCTTCAAGTTACGAAGTAAATTTGTATGCGTGTTTAATTACATAACTCAGACCAACCATTCAACAGTACAATCAGTCTAGAACCAAAGATTATTTGGTTGGCGCATACACTCTTTGTGTTTGGGTGTGGCAAGCAACCTCTTCCACATCCAATCCATTTTAACAACATACACACTGACCGGACTTTTCTATGTTCGCTGTTGAATGTGTGGGATCCAGGCTCCCGGCCCTCTCCTCCTGAGGACGATGGATACTCATCCAGGCCCATCAACCCCACGTCCAGGAGGAGAGGCATGCTGGGGCTTCACAGAGCTGATTTCTCACCGTGGACAGGGCACAGCGCCTGACATGGGCTGGAATCCCTGGCACGTGTGGCCACCACCCAACAAGAGGATGTGATAACCACTGGCACGGGTGGCCACGCGCCTCGCTGAGCTCACCTTTTCTGAATGGCTCCCGGTTCTCCTCTGCTTCTCTGTTGACTCGATTCTGTTCAGGTTCAACGGTGGGGCCCTGGTCTTCGAGCTCATCTTCGGTCTCATCGTCACTGTACGGAACCACCTCGTCGTTGGGCTGCGAATCCTCCTCGAAGGTTGTCTCCGAGTCTCTTTCCGAATTCATTCTGCCGGCGGATTGGGACGAGCTGGCTGAAAAGAAAGGAGAACCCTGGTGAGGCATCACGCTCGTTTCGTTTCAGGTTAAGCCCTGCACCGATACAGCATCCTCAGAGCCCATCACCCCGGCCACCAAGTCGGTTCCAACTCACAGAGACCCTACAGAAGAGAGTTGACCTGCTCCCGAGGGCTTCCGAGACTGTAAATCTTTATGGGAGCAGATAGCTCCTTCTTTCTCCCACAGAGCGGCTGATGGGATTGAACCTTGCAGTTAGCAGCTTCATGCTTAGCCCATAGCACCACCAAGGCTAACAGACAAAACCGTCTATGAGTGATTCTATGCTCAGATAAAGCCTAAGGTGGGGAATGTGGTATTTTTACACAAATAACATGGGTGTTACAAACAATACATCCCCTTCCAGTAGTGGTTTCCTATGCACACTATTTCCACTATCTGCATGTCAGTGTTATTTATATGAGAATGTAAATGAGAAGTCACAGAGCTAGCTCTACACCAGGTTTTTATTTCTCTCTCTCTCTCTCTGGCTTTTAAAAGAGTATTCAAACTTTAAACAACTTATAGGTCTGTACCAGGGAATCCATTTAATAGGCTACAACCAGCCTTCAGAGAAAAGGAAGACGTAGATGATGAACCTTGAAAACAACACGCTAGGGGAGATAAGCTGGACTTCACAGAACGGCTGTTATAGGGGCCTCCGCATAAGAACTATCCAGCATGGGATTGAACTATATCATATGCGGATTACCTATGTCCCGATAAAGTTGTTGAAAAAAAATACGTAACATAGTTTATTGACTAGAGACCGAATCTTGTTAGTGACCCTCAGAGGTGGGAGTGGAGGGGCCAGGACGTATTGCTGAAGGGGAGCTGATGTGATGACCACCTCTGGAAATGGATCGTAGGAATGTAGCTCAGGGTCTCCTGTAGACTTTGGTTCACTCAAAGGTAGCTTGGAAGACAGGTCTGCGGATGAACTTTCCAAAACTCAGCCCAGTTCTACTCTGACCCACAAGAGGTCACCATGGATGCGGTCAACCCTTCAGCAACTGTTCTTTCCACTTAGTTCGGTTTGTTTTCAGTGCTGGCCCACCACGATGGAAGTCACTGATGTCACTAAGTTGTATATGGAAAATGATTACCACAGGAAACTTGTTGCTAGCTCTATTGACCACAATACAATTTTCATTTAAAAATTTTTGGCTTACTCGTTAAAGAAAATGAAACCCTGGGTAAAGGAAGACAGCGGTTGGTGTAAGACATGAAAAAAAAAGTTATCAAGGGTTCATTAGGGAAGGAGGGGGAGGGAGAGGCGGAAAAATGAGCTGATACCAAGGGCTCGAGTAGAAAGAATATGTTTTGAAAACAATGATGGAAACATGTACAAATGTGCTTGACACAATGGAAGCATGGTTGGATGGTGATAAGAGCCCCCAATAAAATGATTAAAGAAACATAAAAAATGAAAATGAAACAGATAAACAGGTCTGCATGCTGGGTCTCCACAGAGCTGATGTCTCACTGTGGACAGGGCATGGCTTCAGAGCCCCTGCTCCGAGCGGCCTGCTTGCTGCCAGCGTCCATGTTCTACGTAAGCCTTTGCACGGTGCCCCATTTGAAACGTGACCTGCCATCTGCCCATTTTGCCCATGGCTTTCTCTGTGCCTGGCACCCACTGCCCACCCCCCGGGTCTGGAGTAACCAGTCTAACCGCAGTTCTATTTCTATTAGGAAAATATTTGCACACATTATCTCAGGTGACTTGAGGGCAGAGATACAGACGGGCCTTATGTACATATGCGCCACACTGCTAAGTGCTCAGTGATTGCTACCAGCAACTCACTGCGTGCCAACCCCGGGTGAAGTGCATGATGGGCATCGCCGGCTAGGCACGCCCTTCCATGGCCCCACCCCGCCACAGGTGTGCCTGCAGTTCCCAAGCTGCCCAGGAGGAAACCCGAACTCCTGGGCTCTTTGATCACTTGTACAGAAACCGACAACAATGGCTTTTCAGGAAAGTGCTTGGCTCTCCCGTATTACAGTGTGTTAACCTGTTCTCACTGGAGGTGACTCTCTTGGAGGAAATTATTTACCAGGTTGCCTGCTTGGTACCAACTCGGGCATTCTAGGCCTCTCGAGTAAAATTTCTAACCACAAATGGACACCCGAAGAGGCTGTAAACATTACAGGAGGATGTTTGCTCAGCCATTCATGTAAAACCATAAACCCTACAAGCAGCCTGGGTCCCCCAACAATGAGAGATGGCTTCACTGCACCCTGGCATGACAGCGTGAAGCAATTAGACTGATGGGAGGGGACTTCATGGCAAAGCCAAATACATCCAGGTCAAAGGTGAATCCATACGATTCTCTCTCATACACGTAATGTATTCTTTTTTTTTTTTTTTCTCTTTTTCTTCAAGGGGATCTCCAGTGGCCTACTAATGGGCTTTGGATCTCCACTCCACACTTCCCCCATCATTCACTATGGTAAGATTTTTTGTTCTGATGATGCCTTACACCTGATCCCTTCGACACCTCGTGGTTGCATAGGCTGGTGTGCTTCTTCCATGTGGGCTTTGTTGCTTCTGAGCTTGATGGCCGCTTGATTACCTTCAAGCCTGTAAGACCCCAGATGCTATACTTTTTGATAGCCGGGCACCATCAGCTTTCTTCACATTTGCTTATGCACCCATTTGTCTTCAGTGATCCGTTCGACACCCCGTGATCACACAGGTTGATATGTTGTTCCATGTAGGTTTTGTTGCTTCTGAGCTAGATGGCCGCTTGTTTACCTTCAAGCTTTTAAGACCCCAGACGCTATATCTTTTGATAGCCGGGCACCATCAGCTTTCTTCACCACATTTGCTTATTCACCCGCTTTGTCTTCAGTGATTGTGTCAGGAAGGTGAGCATCATAGAATGCCAATTTACTAGAAGAAAGTATTCTTGTGTTGAGGGAGTACTTGAGTGGAGGCCCAATGTCCTTCTGCTACCTTAATACTAAACCTATAAATGTAGGCTCATAAATCTATTTCCCCATCCTCATATAATATATTTGCATATGTACATGTCTTTATCTAGAGCTCTATAAATGCCCTTTGCCTCCCAGCTCTTTCCTCTATTTCCCTTGATTCTCCTCCTGTCCCACTATCATGCTCAGTCCCCACCAGGATTTCAGTACTTCCTCTGTTACGTTCATACACGTATTCTTTGCGTTTCCAAAATTCCAACAACTGGTTTTCAAAAGTAGGCTTTTAAATTCTATTTTGCAAGGTAAATGCTTAATTCAGAGTATGACCTAAACACCCACAAGTATAAAATTCACTGCCATCAACTCAGTTCTGACTCACGGACCCCAGAGGAGACCAAAGAACTGCCGTGTGGGTTTCTGAAGCTGTGACTCCTTATGGGAGTAGAAAGCCTCATCTCTCTCCCATGGAACAGCTGGAGGTTAGTAGCGAGAAAAGTGCTATAGACAGTAATAAATGAAGACAGTAGAGATCCCCCCCGCCCCCGGGCTTTTCCATCTCTGAAAACCATTTGTAGAATATGTCTTCTTTCAGTGAAAAGTAAAACTGGTTATCTAGTATATCCTGAAATACCATCACGAGAGTATATTCTAAGTGCAGGAATGGTCTTTTAAAAAGCCCTTTGCTCACTTGCTTGCAATTAAATGTAAGCCGACATCTATAGCCCATCAAAACCAGGGCTGGCCGTTCTGACTCAGAGCGGCCTGGGCCAAGGTGCCGCAGAGCAGCCCGCAGGGTCTCCAAGGCTGTCACCCTCTGGAGGCACACTGCCATGACTTTCTCCTCGAGCCGCTGGTGGGTTCGAACTGCCAACCTTCCGGCGAACAGCCCAACACTGAAGCACCGAGCCTCCTGGGACCCATTACAAAAATAAAAAGTAAAAATAAACAAGTACAATCTTTTGCTCTCTTGAATATAATTCTTTTTACTTCTCTCTGTTTCTTTTCCTTTTTTGGTATAAATTTATGTAACTAGTAAATATAAATATGTACACTTTATTTTTTACTTGCAAAATAAAGTGCTTTTCCTCCTTCTAGATTTCCTGAGAATTTGTAGATCAATCTTTCTTGAAGTTTTACAAGTACTTAATTAGATGGATTTGTAGTTTTTGCAACATATTTGTACCTATGCTTTAGCATAACCATAGTTGACAGTGGTGCGGGAACAGTCGTGTTTCTTCCCATTGAACACATGCTCATCATGAATGGGTCGACCTGCTGGCGTCTAACAATAGCAACGTGCTTTAGCTAGTCTGTAAATATATTATCTTAAAAATTCTCAAACTGAAAAAAAAAAGTCCTGGGGTAACATGGCAGAGGGGGAGGTGGGGGAAAGAAAGTGGGTGTTAACAAGCCCAGGGACAAGAGAACAACAAGTGATCCAAAATCAGTGGCGAGGAGGTTGTAGGAGGCCTGGTAGGGCTTGATCAAGGTTAATGTGACCGAGAGGAATTACTGCAACCCAAATGAAGGCAGAGCATGACAGTGGGACAAGAGGAAAGACAAAGGAAATAGAGGAAAGAACTAGGAGGCAAAGGGCACTTATAGAGGTCTAAATACAGGCATTAAATATATTTATATATGAGGATGGGGAAATAGATCAATGTGCATATATTTATAGGTTTGGTATTAAGGTAGTAGATGGACATTGGGCCTGCACTCAAGTACTTCCTCAATGCAAGAATACTTTGTTCTATTAAATTGGCATTCCATGATGCTCACCTTCCCGACAGGATCACTGAAGACAAATCGGTGCATAAGCAAATGTGGTGAAGAAGGCTGATAGAGCCCAACTATCAAAAGATATAGCGTCTGGGGTCTTAAAGGCTTGAAGGTAAACAAGAGACCATCTAGCTCAGAAGCATCAAAGCCC